GCAGGTGGAGAAGGAAGCCCATGCTCCCAAGCCACAACCATTGGTTAAGGAGCATGTACCTCAGCTTCCCTTCCCCACTCGCCTCCACAAAGACAAGCTGGAGACTGAGTTTGCCAAGTTTATGGCAATGTTGAAGCAGCTCAACATCAGCATACCGTTCGTGGAGGCACTGTCGAAGATGCCCAAGTATGCCAAGTTCATGAAAGATCTCCTCACCGACAAGAAGAAACTTGGGGATCTTTCGAGAGTGATGCTCAGTGAGGAGTGTTCTGCTATCCTGCAGAACAAGCTGCCCGAGAAGCGAAAAGACCCAGGGAGTTTTACTATCCCTCTTACTATTGGCAGCATGCATGTAGGCAAGTCCTTGGCGGACCTAGGCGCTAGCATAAACGTCATGCCAAGTTGTATAAAAAGCTAGACCTAGGTGAACTTAGCCCTACTAGGATGAGCATCCAGCTAACTGATCGTTCCATTGTGCATCCTAGGGGAATCATAGAGGATCTGCTTGTCAGTGTCGGTGCATTCGCATATCCTGTTGATTTTGTTATTCTTGATATACATGAGGATGTGGATGTACCTTTGATTATGGGTAGACCATTCCTTGCCACCGCCAAGGCACTTATTGATGTGCATGATGGTAAACTGATCTTGCATGTTGGGAATGAACATGCTACTTTTTCTGTGACTGAATTCGATCACTGTGCTATGATTGATGTCACGCCTGTACATGCCATTTCTGATCAGGTACACGAGCCTGTCGTGTATCCTTCTGCACCTCTTATTTTTCAGGACCCTCCTGTCATTCCTTCGCCGCCACTCCATCCAGCCTCGCCTCCGACCAAAAAGCTCAAGGAGGAGTGGCGGCCGAAGCAGCAGGTTGCTAAGCCTGCGGAAGAAGAGTGGAGACCACTACGAGCTGGTCCCACCTCCTACACCACAAACACCCTGGCCGTCTGGGTACTCACTCGCCTGCATCTTGCCAGATGGCCAGGTCGAGCTGACAGATGATGGTGGTCGCATCCGTCGGGTGCATGGCCACAACCTGAAGCTGTACCTCAAGAGCGACGTGGATCCGCTCTTCGAGGCACCTGTTCTTGCACCTCCCTGAGTATCCACCATGGGCGTCCAGCTAAAAGACGGTAAAGAAGCGCTTGTGGGGAGGCAACCCCACCACGGTTTGACTTTCTTTCTTGTGTTTTGAGTCGGATTGTAAACCGGTTTGGTTTTGGTTTGTTTTCTTTTGTTTTGGATGATGTCTTATTGGGATGACATTGGACCTAACATATTGTGTTTGAGCTCTTCTGTTCCCCTTTAGCTGTGCTTGGCTTGACTGGTCCTCTATCCAGTTCGCGTCACTCGACTGGTCCGCTTCCAGCCTCCTGCAGTCCGTGCATACCGGTAACATCGTTCCCCTTTTCCTTCCCTCTTCTCCATTGAGGGCAATGTCGATCTTAAGTGTGGGGGGATGTTTATCTTTTGACTGCATTAGATCTGTTTGTGTGCTTGGAGCCTAGTCCACTGTCCAAATTTTTGAAATTTGAGGGCTCCAAGTACGTGTTTCCGTGCAATTGCCTGCTCAGTATGCTTTGAATTGACAGTCTTTATAGTAATATGCAACCTAGGGAGGTAGTGTAGCACTATGGAGGATGTTGATGCATTTAAGAGGTCTCATTTCTTCTTCATATTGTGTTGGTTGATTGAGTGAATTAGTGATCTTAGGACGCTTGAATGGTGTGGTGTTGTGGATTCTCTACCTTTCATGGACTCTTGTATCATGTTTTGAGTTTAACAGGTGCTCGAAAATGTGCTTCAAAATAACGTCTCCCGTGCGAATAGGGCGAAAGTGTGTAACGGGAGACGGGAATCCGTTCCCAATTTCCACCTAATACCTCCAGCCCCCTTACATGTCTTTCCCCCGCACGAGGCTCGAGACATCCGCTCCTGGCATGGCCATTAAGAGTCGGTTGGGACCCTTGAAAAAAGAAAAAATAACAGAAAACAAGCAAAACAGAAAGAAAAGGGGTTCCAACCATCCTCAAGAAGAAAATAGAGCACCTTGAAAAATGTGAGTCCATGATCCTTTGTTTTTGAGAATATCTTCATCCACAATTCATTTGTCCTCTGTTCACTATTTGCCATGATGCCGACTCGATACTAGTGCTCTCGCCGAAGAAGCTATGAGATGACTTGTGCGTCGGTTGACCTCGTAAGTTGCTAAATGATCTAGGAAGTCCTCTACCTAAGATCTGGGTTGTTTGTTGCTATAGAGGTCTGGAGAGTTGCATTGGTTTGAGTTAGGTTTGCTTGGGGACAAGCAAACGGTTAAGTGTGGGGGAGTTTGATAACGATGTAATTGCACATATTTGCGCCCCTAGTTCTTAACCATTTGAGGGGCATAGTCGTGTACTTTTGGCCTATTTTACGCCGGGTTGTGCTATTTTGTCATATTTCAGGTCCCACGCGTCAAAGGAAAGGCTAAGCACGAGTTTCGGGGCATTCGGAAGTCATTTCGTCGAGCTGGAGCCAAAAGACGGGCACACCTAATTCATTACACGGCCGTGTTCTCCCAAAGCACGGCCGTGTTCTCTCCAAAACACGGCCGTGTTCTGTGGCCGTGCTTTTACTGCCGACAGCTAATTCGAGTTTGGCAAACATGAGCTGATTACACGGGCTGAAAGCACGGCCGTGTTCTCCCAAAGCACGGCCGTGTTTCTCCCAATGCACTGGCCGTGTAATTAACACTAGCCAAAGCACGGGCGGGCTGAGGCAAAGCACGGCCATGCCCTCGACCGTGATTTGGCCAGTGATGCCTTTTTAAGCAGATTTTACGCCAAAGAGAAGGGGATTCGAGTTTTAGAGAGACAGAGCGATTCCTAGAGAGAGAAAGCGACGAACAAGAGTCTCCAAGTGCCCTAGCTTGATCTTCAACACCATTGGAGGCCAGTTTGAGCTTGGAGAAGTGCCGATCAACGTCCAGGAGCAGGAATCCATCCTTCACAGTATGAATTCCGCGTCTGATTCTGCTTTTGCTTCTTTCTCCATGGAGTAGTTCTCCCATTCATCTGGGTATGGAGAACCCTAGATTTGTATGTTAGGCTTTGATTGTATGAACCCAAGTACTGAATCTATGATTTGATTATGTTCCATTGAGGTTTGAATGATTGAATGACTTGAATCCTGATCAAATTCCTGTTGTTTCTGCTTTAACCTAGAATGAGAATATCTGACTAGGTTAATAGAGCATCCTTGATTGAAGGTAGGGAGTTGGTGACTTTAGTCGAGGAGCCAACTCACTATTCTGTACCGGTTTTACTCCGGTAGTGGAGGTTTTGTTTGTTAAGGCCTCAATCTGTTTACTCCGGTGGAGGTTAGTCGCCCGCTAGAGACTCAGATTGAGAGGGTCTGAAGACCTTTAGTCGAGACTTCAGGCTGTTTAAGAACCTTCCGCAGTATAACTTTCATAGTAACTGAACTTGGTAATTACAATCCGGCTTAACTGCAGTCTAGGGGGAACCATATCCGGGTGACCTCTCTTAACCTGAATACAACAGTTTACTTGCTTTGTTAGTTTGTTAGCTTAGACTTGCATTAAAGTTTCATTGCTAGATAACAAGAGTTCACTGAGTAGTCATCAAATCTAGGACCCGGGTTGATAATTAAACCTAAACCCGCTATACTACGCTTTAGGAAGTGGTTTCACTTGGCCAATTCCTGGAGTGACAGTAGAAGTGAGTCACCGCCTTCCTCCGAGTTGTTTTCTCTGTCTTGTTCTATTCTTTGGGTTCAGTTCTGTTGATCCCTGTCTTTCTACATTTTCCGCTTCCTTTTCTTTCTTCGTGAAATATATCTTATCACCATTATAAAAAAAAATGATTAGATATAGACCGATAATGAAAATGCTTAAAGACAAATTATCTATAACCTCATAAAGAGGAAGCCTAATACAATTGCAGAAACCTCACGGAATGAGTAAGTAGGATGGCAATGAGGCGGGTTTGGGGTGGGTTTGTCTAAACCATTCTCATCCCCACTTTGAAATATTTCATATCCATACCTTCCTCATACCCATGCGGTGGAAGATTTTGCAAACCCATCCCCATACCATGGGTTTCGGGTACCCATGGTAATACCCGCCCCGTACATACGACGTTATAATATCTAAAATTTTACATGTAAATTCTCGATTACAACATTAAACGCACCTACTATACTATGAAGTTGACAAAGAGACAATCATTCTTTATACGACTCAGAACATGTTATCATAAAACACCAATTAATCCATAAAGTATAGTACAATGTAATCCATATCATTATTCTCTGACTCTGATACATCTACTAACTACTAACTAACATAATAAGTTGTAGTTCTTAAAAAGTTATGCGCAATAAAAAAAACGTAGGATTGAGGAGCACAAAGTTATGCCCTTCCAAAGTTTGGCAAAATCAAAAAATTGCTCGTTCGGGGTAGCAAACGACATTTTTTGGGATGAACGCCAGCTTCAAATTGAAAGATATTGAAAACTTATGCGAATCATTTTTTTTTTACTACGATCGGATAACCGAGCGCAAAGTAACATTAGTTTGAAGTTTCAGCCTTAGTTCAGGTCTTCACCGTGGCCGACAAACGCGGAGAAGCATTCACCACTTTAGTCTACAGAGGACAGAGGTGAATGTATTCACCGAGATTGACGGCCACGGTGATGCCCAAACATGTGAAGATTGGAAATTTTTCATAAAATGTGTGTATTGTGGGAATTTTTTTAAAAAAATGTGCGTATTTTTATGATTTTTCCCGGGTTGGTGGCCATTTTCAGAACGAAACCTTTTCCCCTTCCTCGCAAAGCTCTGCTCCTTTGTCAATCACCATTGGACGACAAGTGTGATTTCCCCATTGCCCTGCCTTGTCTCACTAAGATTTGTCACTATCCATTACGTGTTTTGTCTTCCTGTTTCCATTCCTAACTTGCATTGAACACTGTTCAACGAAATTCTTGAACCACATCGACCACAAAATACAAAGTAGGAGATCAGCTCCAACTCGTTCTCCTCCTCATCACCGTCGTCTTCCCCAATGAAACATCAGCAGCAGCTGCAAGATCATCACAATGATGGGGACTCGCCGAATTCCCCTACTTCCACCAGCAAGAAGACAAAGTGCATATGGGACTGCAGCAGCAAGCACCCGGTGTACTGGGGATTCCAAATGTGGAGCTTGGGGAAATGGGTACCCGAAATCAGGGAGTTGCGCAAGAAATCGAGAATCTGGTTGGGTGCTTTCCCGGCCACTGAAATGGTCGCGCGCGCCCATGATGTGGCGACACTCTACCTCAAGGGGAGATCTGCAATTCTCAATTTCCCCGACTTGGTCAGCTCCCTGCAACGGCCAGCCTCTGTCGCGCCGCGGGACGTCCAGGCGGCGACAGCCTAGGCCGCCCTGACGGATCAATTCGATAAGAAGTGGATGGCGGACGATGATTCCGGCAGCGCCTTCGCTATCTTCGATGGAGGAAGATGATAAAGCACCAGGGGGTTATTTGTTTGATCAGAATACGCAGCTCAGAACTCTTCAACGAAGGATAAAATAGATTGGTAGAATTTTGCCACAATCAAGGTGATTACTTGATTGATAAGAATCTTGTAAAACGGATCTGGAATCCTCATAGAAAACCCTCACAAGGGTTCTTGAATTAGAAATGGAATCCACACAAAACTAACTGAAGGATTTGATTCTTCAGACACAACTCAAAGACTCAACAACTCACGCTTGAGTAATTTTCATTCAACTCAACTCTGACTATTACAACGAAAACTAGAGGGCTTTTATAGTCAAAGAAAACCTAATAAAATTCTAAACTAACAAGGAAACCAATTAGAACAGGAAAAAGTCTAAAGAATTCGTGTAAAACAAGATAACTTGCAGGCCAAGAAACTGACTTAAAACACAAGCAAGTCTGCCTGGGAAAACAGGCTTCATAGCATCTTTGAGCCCTTTGAAAATGTCTTCTAGGTTGATTCGAACTCAACCAATTCCTTTCCTTTGTATAAGAAAACTCCCTCTTTCACCTCCAACTTGAACCAGCCTTAGATAATGCTCCAAAGTCCTGATATATGCCTTCAAACTTGGTATCTCAAAACAGTTTTCTGCCTTGGCCAAATTTAGGCAGTTTTCCTGTTTTGAGGTAGCCTTTTGATGGGCTTTGAAAGTGACCTTCCAGACATCCCCTTGAGCTCCACAATGTACCAATGTATAGATAAAAACTTTATCTTCAAAATGACACCTTGAACAAGAATTTCTATCGAGCCAATTGAGAGATAATGGCTTCCAAAGTAGGAAACTTTAACTCGAAGAAACCCAGAACACACAATTTCAAATTTCCAGATTCCGGCAATAAAATCCCAGAATCCGGCGAACTCGAATTTTTCGACGAGGCCTTCAAATTTGGGAATTTCGTCTCGAAGCATTCTCGATCAAATTCACCTCTCAAAATCGACCCTCCTGGCTCCCAAGAATCGATCCCACGCATTCTCGTGCTTCGAATCTTTCCAAATCGCTCCAATTGTTGATTTTCGAATTTCCCGCCGTTGGAGGATTCAAATTTTCCATAATCCGGCAGCTCAAACCCAGATTCCGGCGACCCCAAACTGAAATTGGGCGTTTTCGATCCTAGCTCCTCCAAGAAAAATTGATCGTTCGTAAAGCTTCCTTGAACCTTCCTGAACCTCTCCACAGTCTCCTTTTGGCTCGTTTCACTCCCAATCGCGTCAACCAATTCACCCTTCTCGACCTCGTGTTGCTTCTCGTTTTGACCCGAAATTGGTGAATTGGGGGTTTTCGACTCGACGTGTTTCGACTCCAATTGGCCATTGCTACACCTTCCCGGCGTCTCAACGAATGTGTCAACGTTGGCCGTTTGCTAAGATCCAGCCTCGAGACTTCCAACCGATACAATATGTGTCTTCCCCTGCATCGCATCAAAAAATAGGGCTGCTCGACCTAAATTAGAGTCACCGTTTCAACTCGAATCGAGTCGGTTTCTTCCAGTGAATCCACTCCTGGGGTGTCGAAAACCACCTCTAATGCGTTGGGCTCACTCATTTCTTCCCCCACGTCGCTTCCCGATTCTTTTTCCTCCCTGCCTTGTACTGCCGTCGAGGAACAAAGGCTTCCTTCTCTGGCCGACGTTTTGGCTAAATTGGACTTCCACGACCATGGCTTTGCAAGCAAAACTCTCTAATAATCCTCATGGAGTCTTCGCAGCTCCTTCAAATCGGCAGCAGCTTATTCTGGAGCCAACGGATTCACGACGAACACCTTGTTTCGACTCTCAATTCAAAACTTCTTGCTCCGTCGACTTTCAAAACGAACCTAACGCTCTCTGAACCATGGTTTTCCTAAAACGATGTTGTTGGGAAGATTGTATACCACATCACACATTATCCGATCTTCGTATTTTCCAATCAAAATCTCCACCGCTACTTGAAATATTACGAGGCTTGATGTGTTTTCGTATGGTGATTGGAAACTATAGGGTTTCGAAAGTAATTAGAATTGCAGCGTGACACGCTACGACACAACACCTAACAATGGCCAAGTGTAACCAATGAAAGGGACTGCAGTATAGTGGTGCAAGTAATAAATATCGAATCCTCGGGTCTCTAGAGGTACATTACTCAGATTCAGTTCATTATATAGCAAATCATATAAAGGATTGATTAACTAAAATACTCTACTAACTAAACTAAGTAAAACTACTAATTACAGTTTAGGAACTCACTTAGGTATGATTCCCCCTAGCTCCTCAATTAGGTCCAAGTTGTAATCCTTTTGGTTGTTTTACTGTTGATTAAACTGCGGAAGATCCTAAATTAGCTTGGAATCTCTTAAGCTGACCAAGCCCTCTTAGACAGAATACCTGGCAGGCGACTAGCCTTCACCGGGATAGACTGCTAAGGCGATTCACACATATATCCACTACTAGAATGAATTCCAGTACAAAGCAGTGAATTGACAGACTCTCGCACAACCAATTCACTACTATCAATCAAGGAAGCTCTCTAAACCTAATCAGATTCTATCTATCAAAGGTTAAAGCAGAAATCAAGAGAATCTGATGAGGATTCAATTGACTCAATAAATCATGCCTCAACCGATTACAATCACACAATATAGCATCCAAAACTTTATACAAGAAAGATCCTAACATATGGAACTAGGGTTCCTCAAAACCTAAGCGAAGGGAAGTTACTCCATAGAGAAGAGAGAGACTGCAGAAATCTAATCTAGATCTTCAATCTCCATCGCCAAGCTTGATTCTCGCACTCCAATGGTGAAGAAATCCTCCAAAATAGCTCCAAGAATGGCTCTAGATCACCCTCTTTCTCTTTGGTTCGTCCCTTGGGTGTTTGGGATCCAAAACCTAGCTCTCCCTCTCCAAAAATCGCAAAACAGCTTTTATACTCGCTGAAACTTGCACCCCTATTTGCACGGCCGTGGGAATTGAGCTTTTGGCCGTGCAAACCCCCTGGGAAACTCACACGGCCGTGCAGAATTTTACACAGCCGTGCACCATTTTCAGCATGCACTCCTAAGCTTTGTTGACCTCGTATGAGCTCATTTGACCTCCGATTCTGGTGTCGTTTGATCCCAGATGCTCTTAGTCTTGTCTTATTTCTTTTACTGACAAGATTTCATGATTCTTTGTCAATAAAATGAGGTATAAATCCATTCTTCCTCAAGTCATTCCCGAGTTTCTCACCCCGAGTCGCCAATTGATCTCCTATTGACTTGAAACTTGCGCCTAGGCTTCACTTTACATGCTAGGACCTGAAATGTGACAAAGGAACACAAACTAGCGTAAAATAGTCCAAGAAATCAAAAACTCAAGCCAAAATGATCAAGAAACGAGGGTGCAAACATGTGCAAATACGACGTTATCAAATTCCCCCACACTTAACCGTTTGCTTGTCCCCAAGTAAACCTTACTCAAACCAATGCAACTCTCCAGACCTTTATAGAAACATGCAACCACGATCGTCGATAGAGGGCGTTCTAAGCCAATTAGCCGCTTACGAGGTTAACCAACGCATAAGACACCTCCTAGCTTCTTCGGCGAGAACTCTAGTCCCGAGTCGGGATCATGTCAAGTAGTGATCGGAGGACAAGTGATTCGTGGACAAAGAGACTCTAAAAAACAAAAAGGTCATGGACTCACTTTTAGGTGCTCTTTTTTATCCTTTAAAGATGGTTGGAACCCCCTTTTTTTTCTTTTTCTTTGTTTTGTTGTTTGTTTTTTCCAAGGATCCCAACCTGTTATTTCCAGAAAACGGGGCTCCCACCTATTAAAGATTTTGAGGGAGCTCGACTCTTACCGGCCATGCCAGGAGCAGCTCTTACCGTCCATGCCGGGAGCAGATGTCTCGAGCCTCGTTCGGGGAAAAGAAATGTAAGGGGGCTGGAGGTAGTAGGTGGAAGTTGGGAACGGATTCATGTCTCCCCTTACACACTTTTGCCCTATTCGCACGGGGGACGTTATTTTAAAGCACATTTTTAGCACCTTTTATTTCAAAACATGATACAGGAGTCCATGACAGGTAGAGAGTCCACAATACCACACATTTCAATAGTCCTAAGATCACTAATTCACACATTCAACCAACACAATATGAAGAAAAAATGAGACTTCTTAAATGCATCAACATCCTCCATAGTGCTACACTACCTCCCTAGGTTGCATATTACTATAAAGACTGTCAATTCAAAGCATACTAAGCAGGCAGTTGCAAGGATCACGTGCTTGGACCCTCAAATCGAAATTTGGACAGTGGACTAAGCTCCAAACATACACAAACAACCAAACATTCACATGCAAACATAATGGAACATCCCCCCACACTTAAGCATGACATTGTCCTCAATGGAGGAAAAATAAGGAGGGTAGAACGAAGTTACCATATCAAGTGTGAATAATGGTGGACGGGCTAGGCGGTGCATTCCAGGAGGAGAGAGAGTATTCAGAACACAAACACCACATAAAATCTCACAAAGGTTGAGTTATTGACTCTAAAATCAAAAGACAAACTGACTCAACCGAAGAGACATAGGGAAAGAAAGTGCAAACCAGCTGGTTGGGTTGTCTCCCAACAAGCGCTTCTTTCACGTCGTGAGCCAGACGATGGCTCTTCAATTTTGGTCCATGCTAGAACCTCCTTGAATTTGAGGTTCTCGTCGGCGAGGCAGAGTCTCAAGTCACGAGCATGGGGTATGACTGGTGATGTAGGCTCGTGTACTTGATGAATATGAAGTCTCCACCCGCGAGACCTCTTCTTTTCTTCCTCTCTCGTCTCATTGCCCCAAACCAGATATGACAGCATTGACTGGCCACCATCGTGTCCACCAAGAGGGACCGATGTCCATGTGGCCTTGGTCTGGCAAAGATACACTGCAAATGGGTCCTTGCCAAGCAGCTCCTCCAGTTTTGGTGGAGATATCACAAGTAACTCATAGCCGGTGCAAGCCTCTTCCACCTCAACTTCGTCCTTAGACTAGACGCCAATTGCTTCTTCAACCCCCCTTCCTTCCTCAGAATTTGATTCCTCCCCTGGGAAAAGATCAAGAACTTCCTTT